AAAAGACTTTTCCACTTCTTGAGTGTATTTAGAAAGGGCTAAAAATAAAAAAAAAAATAATTGACCCATACATTTTCTTTTAAAGACGTGCATCTTGGTGGTAAATTTTGTGGTAGTGATGCCTCACAGATGAGCTGGTTTACTCTGCATTTGTAGGAGTTTTCTTTCAGTATTGAAAGAGAGAAAGGGGGAATAAAGAGAAATACACTGCCTCTCCCCCTAGCTCTTCATTTTCTCTGCTTTCCTGGTATAAATTGTTTATTTATTTCTGTTACAAAGGTTGTGATCTGCAGCACCAAACATATGGGTTTGATGGCAGGAAAATACGTTCCTGTATTTTCTCCATCTGCCATCTTGTGTATAGGCCTTTCAAATGTCCAGATGGAGGGAAGGAAGACATGTAATTCTATAACACAAAATCTGTATTATTGTAATTTGATTTGCATACATCTGGAGAGGTGCATCTGACCCCAGATGTGAGGGACTGCAGAGCCATTTCCATGTAGAGTAGATGGAAGCATGGGCTGCAGCACAGTGCTGTTTGAGGTGGGAAGATGACAGTCCACCCAGACTCTTCATTAAATCCACAACACTTCACTGCTGGGACCCATAGTGCTTAACCTGAACCATATGAAAATGAAACATATTTGAAGGTAATTCTTTAGACTCCATCTGTTGTCAATGAAGAAAGAGGAGAAATTCCAAAGCATTAATTCTTCCTGCATGTCTGAGACACCTAATTTAAGACAAGGAGAATCATCTCCTAAGGATATTTCTCCATTGACTACTGCAGGAGCCAGACAAGTTGCTGATAAGATAACTGACTGCTGAACACTAAATGTAGGTGATACTATTTTCCCAGGTGGCAACATAAATTTAACCTTAATTTCTTTTTTTCTATTTTTGTAAGGGAGGTAGATGTGAATATGCATTCTTTTATCAGGATCTGAAAAGATTGATGAAGAATTTTCTGTTAAACTAAGAAAGAAGAGATTATTCCGTGACTTTATTCAGCCTTCAGGCTAATTTTTATTTCTCAGTCAGAAACTGTTCCTTACCATGGGGCCATCTGTTTCAAGTTCCTTCATTGCAGTGTTGGATACAGGGATGAAAATGTGGCTAAGTTGTGTAGAGAGCTGATAGAAAACTGGTCTCCAAATATATCATGCTATTTCAGTACTAAAGCTGTACACGAAGTTTTACTGTAACTGTGATTATAAATGTCTGACCTTTTAAAGCTGTGGTAGTAAATATTGTCTTAAGGCCTGGAACTCTTCATATGATGCAAGTTGCATCAGATTTGAATATCAGCATAACTAAAGAGTGGCTCACATCTGAAATTCCCCTCCTTCTTTCAACGATAAGCTGCAGTTGTTCATCCCAGCTCCATTTTCTGTTTTGACAAATTGTGGTATAGGTTAGAGACCTGCTCAAACTTCTCAATTTAAGAGCTTGTGGGGTCTTAGAGATGTTTCTTGTTGCTTAAGTTCCTTCAAAATGTTTTCTTCCATGGCTAGGAATTCCAGCAAGAAATTTGACTTGGGCTCTTTTTGCTAATTGAGCTACAATCTCATGTATTACTTTTAGGCTGCCTAATGGCAATGAACCTTAGATTTCCCATTCGTGAAGGGGAATGGGGGGAGGATGGTATATTGTATCCTTAGAGGTTATGTGAAAATTTTTTCCCTTACAATGTGAGATGTTTTCAATGAAACATTGGTGGAAGGCCCTTAGGAAGAGCAAAGTGGTTTTGCTACTCTATCCACTATTGATAAGAATAACATCTTGTGCCCAGAGTTCTGCTTTAAAATAGTTAAACAAGGCACATATATACACATTTGAGGAAGTTTTTGTCTTTATTATGTTCTTTTCCTAGTACCATGAGCTCACGACACTCTGCCAGCCCTGTGGTTTTCACCAGTGCCAGGAGCTCACCTAAAGAAGAGCTTCATTCTGCCACTTCTCCCCAGCTCGCACCTTCTTTCTCCTCCTCCTCTTCCTCCTCATCTGGTCCTAGGACTTTCTACCCTCGCCAGGGTGCTACTAGCAAGTATCTGATTGGATGGAAAAAACCAGAAGGGACGATAAACTCAGTGGGGTTTATGGATTCACGAAAGTAAGACTGTTTTTTGGTTCTCTTGTTTGATTATTTGCTTTAATTGTAAAGAAGCATTTTGATCTGTGGCAGTTCTCTCTATAGAAGAGCCGAAGATTATTTAATACAATACTTCATCTCTAATCTAGAGTTCTGCAGTTAGGTTTAAATATTTGATAGTTGGCTAATCTCATTCCCTGTTAACTTGTAAAAGTTTTTTAAAATCATTTTTAGGGAGCTCTATGGATTTCAGTCCTATTAAAGCTTATCTTTCCTTGGGACTTCTTAAAGGTGACTCAAAATGCTATTAGAGCAAATATTAAAAATCCTCTTATCATAGAGCCTGAGTTTGACTTAAGCCTTTCATCCATGTAGTAGTACTGTGCATGCTGTGCATTGGTTCTGTGGCACTCCACGTTGCCTTGTTAAGTTTGCTGCCAGTATCCAGTCTAACTGGCTTAAAGCTTAAAGCAAGCCAAGATATCTCTGCATTACAATATGCAAGCAACTCTTTTGGAAGAGAAATTGAGAAACAACTTACTAGTGAAAATATTGTTAAGTATGGCTTAGAAATCAAGTGGTTCAGAAAGCCAATTTCAAAGTAATTTATTCAACCCTTCTTGACTGTTATTGAGTCAAGCACTGTATCCCTAGATGAAACCAAAAACTGGCTGTCAAAAGGAGATGGTGCAACTTTGTGATAACTACATTATAAAAAGCCAACTAAAATATTAAAGAAACTTAGTGATTTGCTGCTTTGGTTTCATTCAAGAAACGTACATTTTTAAGTTATGTACAGAATGCACATTATTTTACTGGGTTCAGTCTCTAATTGTGATAATGTATTATGATAGCCCTTGAATTATTTTATTGTATTGCGAGCTGATGTTTTTAAACAAGCTTATTGCTTCAACAGCTATCCATGAGGATGAGGCTCTGCTGGATTACTGAAACTTCTTCTGTCCTCTGTGCCCTCTACTTGGCTTTTTTTCTTTCAAAAACTTGAGGGTGCTATAATTTTTGTTTCATTCATGCCTCCTGCCCCAGGGCTTTGAGACCTTAATGTCTGTTCCGTTTGATTTAAGACGTCACCAGAGCGATGGCAGTGAAATGGCTCACCCGCGGCTGCGCGCTTCGGCCAGAGATCTACGGGCATCGCCGAAACGAGCGTCCAAGTCCACTGTCGAAGAAGACCTGAAGAAATTGATAGATCTTGATAGCCCAACACCTGAATCTCAGAAGAATTTTAAGGTATGTCAGAGAGATAGGAACTTTTCTATTCTCATCCATAACAGGGAAATAAATGCAAAGCACTCCCTTAATTCTCATCATGGACAGAAAGTAATCTGTTTGTTACAGACCATTAGAGAAATACATTTGGAGAACAGTTTCATTATTACAGTCTCTGCAATATTATTACAGTTTCGTGTGCAAATTTAAAGAGACTACTGTGCCAAATTGCAACGAACGTTTAGCACTGCTGGCTCATGGAAAATCCTGTAGTGTTGTCTTATATATTTGAATTGTTCTTCTCTGATTGCATCGCTAGACAGCGACTTGTTAACAGTATTGAAACTCCTTGCAAAAAGCAAACTTTTATGCCTCTCTAGTCCTGTTACCGACAATGGTCCCTAACCTTAAGCATGTATTTATACAAAATAGTTAGAAACACTTTCTCATGTGTTTCGAAATGTGCTTAGTCACACGTAAGTGCATATATTAAGTTTTAGAACCCATCGTTTGGAAGAGAATGTCTTGATTTCTAGTCTCCATGTACAGCCTGTGCTTAACAGCTCAGGCTTGTCATCTAGAGCCTAAATTGTTTCCACAGCAACCATGCAGAAGAGAGCGCTGCAGCTTCTTTTTTTGCTGGTAAAAACCTGAAATGGCCTATTAAAAATCGTAAGTGCTAGGTCCCATACACAGATGATTTTAGATGTTGCATTTGAGACTGAAGAAAAAAAACCCTTGTCATTGGCAAGACACCTTTTTCTTAGGTTTGTGGTAGTCTGAAGGGGGTGGGACATGGGTGATGTGAGCATCTCCTGTTGGTTATTTTGAGCAAGAGTATTGTTTTCTTTACAAGAAATTCCATTCTGTTTAAAGAAGTGACCTGAAGATGATGCAGAGTGTGTATCTTCCCAAGTTTGTTGTTCTTCTGCTTTGGGATTAGTGAATCAATTCTGTAGTAACGAGTGTGTTAACTTAGGTTGCACTTTTGACATATTTCATCAAGTTAATAATGTTCTGTCACACCAATAAATTACATCTTTTCCATTTTAAAATTATCTGTTATTTCTGCCTACTGTATGACTTACATTTCATCTTACAGAAGAAGTTGTTCTTACAGCAGAAAATTTTTTGACACTTTAAAATGAAAAGAAAAAAAAAAGAAAAAGAATTAGCATGGCCTGCATTAGTTCACTGCGCCAAAAATCCTCCTTCTTTCTGTCTGTTGGCTGACAAAGGCTTTGTCTGTGATTTTGTGCATCTTTGTATTATCCCCCCAGCCTTCCTTATCTCCTTACCTACTACTTATGCACTGTTATCTTCTCAGACAGGTCGCCCCTCTTTTTTTCTTTCCCTGCTTTGTTACCAGAAAACAATTCCTACTCATATTGCCTGTGTTCTGACTCCATCAGATGTCCATATCTGTGCAGCCTTTTAATCTCAATGTCTGATATCAGCTGGTGGTTGCAGCTCCTAATTCTTTAAGTGAACTATGCCACCCTCAAGTAAATGTTTCTTGACTTAGCAGCTTTCTTTTTCTTTTCCACTTCAGGGCAAATACTGGGAGATTTCACTGGATCATAACATGAACCTGCTGACTGAGCTTTTAATTTTCAGAGAAAAAAAGTAGCAGTTTGATCCTCCATGTGACATAGGGACAACTGTGTACCAGAAGTTGTCATTTCTGTAGTGTTAATGGTATCTGCAAGGTTTATTCTGTGATGGGCATGTCCTGAGGGAGGCAATATAGAGGGGGAGAATTTGACGTAACAGAAAGTTGTCATGCAACTTGGCTTCATTTCTTCCTTGTCTTTTGGTGGTAGCAGGGCTTTGGAAGTAGCCTTAATTGTTGCTGATCTTTAATCATGAAACAAAATTGTGCAGCAGTGTTACCTTATAGTTTTTAAGGGATGGAGAGGATTGGCAGATTTTCTTCCAGTGTACAGTACCAATGATCCCTCTGTCATGCTCTTCTCCCACCTTGTAGTGTGGGATTTTGATCACAGGAATAGAATACTGTCTGTTAAAACATTTTTTGTCTCTTTCTGGGAAGAGAGGACTTTTCATGTGCAAGTGAGCAACTCCAAATGCTCTTTTTGGAAACCCTGTTATCTCCTTTTTTTTGTTTAAACTTGGTTATAGAGCAAATGAATGTGACAAGGTCTTCATTTATGTTTGCCATTTCTCCATGAAAGCCTTTGGACCAAATTTCAACCAAACCGTAAAGCAGCTCTATGTCTTAGAGATAGTTCTGTTGCTACAGGTTTCATGAAAATCCAGAGTCTTTGGTGATGGGAATGGTTATGATAGCAGCTTGCTGGCATCAGCCAGAGAGTGCATAACTCCACGCCAACCACAGCATTCCTTCCTCCTGTGTGGAGCATGGAGGAAGCTGGGATGATGGTGGGACTAGAACACGAGTTCTCTTTCTCAAGGACTATTTACTTAGTTTGGATTCAAATACTTCCAAAGAACCAAAGCCCTGGTGGGTGTTCCTGGTTGTTCAGTAATACCAGACTTCTAACTGGCATTTGCTGGTGCTTGGCCTGCAGGAAAGCAGCCTTACCCCGGGCAATGGGAGAACTCTGGTTTATGCAGCATTCAGTCTGTTTCTGTAAACATCTCTCTGCTACATGTCAGCTCTGGAGTCAGCAAAGGCTGCCTGAGAGTTCCACTTCAGGAGAGGTTTGAAGGGTATTGAAAAGGTAGAATGTGACATAGGCTAAAAAAGATCTATATATGTTACCTAGTTATAATCTCCTTCAAAGCCGACTCCTTTAGTTCTTTTTCCTATCCACTCTAAAAAAATATTATGTAATTATTATGTAAAAAAAATTGCTACTTGCTTTCTTATTTAAAAAAAAAGTTTTTTAAAATTATTTCAAAACAGACTCTAAAAGTTTCTTTATTGATTTTTTTTTTCTCCTTTCTTTTTATTTGTTTTTATGAATGTATAGTCACACACTCTGTCCTGTCAGTCTCCCTTTCCCAGCACTCCTACCACAAGGCGTGCCTTGCAAAGGACTTTGTCAGATGAGAGTATTTACAGTGGTCAAAGGGACCACTTCTTCACCTCGCGGGCCTCGCTCTTGGACCAAGCCATGCCAAATGATGTACTATTCACCAGCACATACCCTTCTCTCCCAAAGTCGCTGCCGTTACGGAGACCATCGTATACTTTGGGAATGAAATCGCTGCATGGTAAGTGTATTTCCCTTTTTTCTACTTTGATAGGAACTTATTGTGAATCATGCTGAGGGAAAATGTTTGTTACAGCAATTACTTCCATCTCAATTTTGCTAAAATGAGGAGCATCAAATCACGTGACTGAAAATAGGGCAGGATTTCTTTTTATTTTTTTTCCTCACTTCACTGGGTGTAATACTGCATGGCTGGTCATGCAGTTACCTTGTGGAGGAGGCACAGAAATTTGCCTCACTGACTGCAAGTTTTCACCATTTCTTGAAAGAGTCACCTGGACCAGCTGGACCAATGGCCAAATAATGTCTGCCTGGTTATCCACCAGTGACAGCTTCAGGTGTCAGTTCCTTTAGTGTGGGATTGCAGGAACAAAATACGATTAGGAAAGTAATGGTATACAAGTAGATAAATACTGGTGGATGTTTGGATATACACCTACACCAGATAGAGCTTTTATTGCACTGTTTTTAAATTCACTCCCTTACCCTATCCATTTTACAGACTTGAGTTACTTATTTTAGTGACACAGCTAACCAGAAAAAGTTAGTTGGTAAACTGCTGTCAAGAAGATATTCAGCTTTCCCCCATTAGTTTACTGAAAAGTCTCTCAGTAGAATTATCTGATGGGTTGTGTGGTGCTGTATGTGAATGTCTCAGTTGGTTGGAAAGGGAAGTATCACGGGTTCCCACCATACCTCGTAACTAGAGGTGTTTTCCAGAAATAGAGCTAGATTGCAGTGTAGGATTCTGCAGTGTTTTCTGAAGCAGTGCATATCTGCTCTGATTTATTCATGTTTTAGTATGTTTCAAGAGGAAAATGCAAGGCTATCAATAGATTTGACTCACTATAGTGGGTCCTAAGCAAAGTCTGTATTTGGATACACAGGATACATTTGACAGTGAAGATTGATGAAGAAATCTAAATTCCTTTCATCTGTCTGTGATCACCAGGCATCAGTTTTCAGTGTTGAACCTGACATTTTCAAGAGCTATTGTTTCTATATAACATTTCTTGCATAAGAGTTAGAAAAGTGAGCTCTCTGCATTTCTTCTTTTTATATGCACTAAAATAACATCGCAGACTCGGTTATGCTTGTAACTGGCTGATGGATTTGGCTTCTGAGGGCTTGGGGCCAGAAGATTAATGATGCCATCTGAGTAGAAGTAGAAAACAGCACTTGGTCACTTCATTTAGATGCCTATATTTTCTGAAAAGAAAACCACAAAACCTTCTTTTGCTGTCATGTTCTTTTCCACACCAAATTGATAACTCCTCCTAGCACGTAACCTTTCTACATTTGTCAACAAAACATGATTTTCCATTTTCTATAAAATGTAGAGTCTGCCTGATAAAAGGACCAGTTAAGTGAGTGGCACACAAATTGTCTTCCCACACGCTCTCTTGCTTTTGCTGAGAGAAGGATTAAGTAGAGCTGGATATTTAATACCAAAGGTATTTGTTGGCTTCCGGGTATTCAAAAGTGTTTTAATTCAAACATTCCAGAGCATCTGCATTTTTTGAGGAGGGAAAACAACAAGCTAAATATATTCATATTTACAGATCTGTCTGAACAATCCAACCCACACTTTTAAAACAGGTACTTTTACAAATCATTAGGTTTTTTCATCTAAATCTGTGTATCTTTTCACTAATTGGAACTATTTTCATGTTGACAGCTTCCCAAATAACTGCCTTCTTTGGGAGAGATAATACAAGAATCTTTAGTGTTGATATTGAGCTGAAATTACTTTTACACAAAGTAAACACATGCAGAAACACAAACACTAAAAAAAAAAAATCATAATTTTTGAGCAAAGAAGTGAATGCAGTGTAGCTTTTCTGGTCATTGTTTTCCAGGCAGCAATATGATTTAGCTGAAGTTACTAGGAAGTAAAAAAAAAAAAAAAAGAAGGGTAAAATAAGCAAGACAACTAGTGGCATTTCGGGTTTGTATCCTGCCCATCACACTGTCTTTCTGTTCTCTCTGAGCCAAACAGACTCTTCACTATAACCTTCTTCTCTGCAGTGTCTTCCCAGGTCCCCAGTCCATTTTCTCACCCCTACATCGCTGGTACTTCTAATACTACCTACAAAGTTTTCAAAACTTTTCTTTACATCCTGACAGAGGGCATGAGGAAGCAAGTTGTTGCTTCTTCCGACCTTGCACTTGTGCTGACTGACTGGGCATTGCACTTTTTTTGGTTGTCAAGCCAGTAAGCTGAAACAAAGTAGATAATTTTCTGCTCGCTATTTGGCCTTTTCCTAATTAGTGGCAAAAATGCAAGTGTTTCGCTTTTCTTGCTTTAATTTGCACAAAAATTACAGGGATTTTGTATCCTTCTTTTGAGCTTGCCAAGGCTTTTTTTTCATAGCCATGTACCAGCTTGCAGGTGGGTGTGGCTATCAGAAAGATCTGAAGGTATCACTAAACCGCTGAGAGATGTGCAAGGCTTTGGAAGTAATTTTAAGGGTTTACTTCTTCTGATTCATCTTGGCCTAAGTGGGCCTAAGTCTGCTCCCATTGGTTTACAAGAATGTAAAAAGAGGAAGGAAAAAACACCCACAAGTTTGTAATTTTACAAGGGCAAATAGGTGTGAGGGAGTGTAGAAGCCCTAGCACACTGCAGAGCCCTCTGAAGTATCTTTTGCTTGTACAGACTCAAGGATCATTGGGTCGTAGAGTGCTGCCCCTAGCCCCAGCACTGGGGGAGGCAGAGATTGGCTTTGGAAGTGGTCAGGTGCAAAGATTCAGGGAAGTTAGGAAGGAGCCAAATGTCCTGGTGTTAGAAAACTGACTTGTAACATGCTATATCTGGTCAACTGCAGTTGATTAAACTTTCTACTGAATGTTGGTTCCAAAAGTGCTATGCTAGATAAGCTAAAAATAGGGTATGTGTTAGGAATTTTGGGGTGTTTTTATGGAGTTTATAATCTATTCTGCATCACTCTAGGAGAGTTCTCTGCCTCAGACAGCTCCCTCACAGATATTCAGGAGCAAAGACGGCAGCCCATGCCAGACCCTGGTCTTATGCCATTGCCTGATTCTGCCTCTGATCTGGACTGGTCAAACTTGGTAGATGCTGCCAAAGCCTTTGAAGGTAAGTTTTCAGGATGTAACACTGGCCTTTGTGAATGCTTCATTAAGGAGTGTGGGGTTTGCGGTTGTTTTGTTGGGTTTTTTTAATTCTGATTCTTGCTTTTGTTGTTCTTAGTGTTTCTACTTAGTCTGAAGCTTAAGTTCATTTAAAATACCAACTCAAGTCTTAAGAGCCTGAAATTTTGTACATAACACTCAGACAACATTTCTTCATACTGGAATTCTTCTATGCTATGGTTTATCCAAATTTCTGTGAAATTGGCCACTTTTCCTTTCATGTAGAGCAGTTGCAGACATCACAGCTGGTGTGGAAAAGACATCTGACACAAAAGGGCAAAAATAAAGTCAAATAAATAGTAGGGGAAGAGCATCTGATCACACTAATGACTGCTTGCTTGCTGCACTAGCAGGAAGTATATGTAATGCAATTGAAGTTCACTACCAAATTAATTTGGCAAATATGCCTCATTGGTATTTACTTTTTCATTGCCATTCTTCCCTTTGCATACTCTGAACATACAGATACGCATGTGTCATTTCATCCTATGGCACTGTCCATCTCCTTGACACTTAGTAAACTGAAGGGAACTGTAATCTGCCTAGATATATTTGAATTTAAAAGCAAATACAGTTTAGACCAAAGGGAATTTACTGAACTGTACTCCAATGAAGAAGTCTTTTAGGTATGTTAAACAGAAGTGTCTATTCCTATTATCTACATAAATGCTGTTCCACTTTCATGGAAGTGTTTTCACTGGTCCTGAATCTTTTAGACATTATTCAGCATGGTTTGGAGAAGCCTGTGAAGTAACTTGGTTTCTTGGCTGTTCTCTGGTAGTAAACTTACAGATCATTAACACAGTGCATGTCGATGTGGGTGTCCAAGACATACGTGTGCTCTGTCTGTTGCCATAGGAGTTGTAGGAGAAGCATGTCTCATATTTCTGCTGTGCAGTCTTGGGGAAGAGTATTCAAAGTAGGCCTTGGTTCTCAAGAGGAGATGAATTTGTAGTGATGGTTTTTTTCACCACCACATAAGGATGAAACTCTGATTTTAACACATTTCCCTGTGGTTGGCAGTTTCTGTTTAAAAGATCCCCTGTTTTGTGGTGAGATTTATTTGACTGTTCTCATTAACCTGAATCCCTCGCTTTTGTAGGCCCCAGACTCACTTGTGTTTCTCTTTAGAAGCGTGAACACAGTCAGTGTGGTCAAGGTAACAAACTGAGAGCTCAGACAAAGAAAGGCTGGGGTAATGTGTTGGCTGGCACCTTCATCCCACCGCTAAAAGAATTTATTCAGATTTGGCTTGGAGAGGGATCTCAATATAATCCCACTGGTCATTGATTGTCTGGTCTCAATACAATCCTAGTCTGTAGTCTCTGCCAGGTGCCAGTAGGGATTGACAAGTACCAAGGAGCCTAAATTCTGCTTTGTGATCCTGGACACCTCTCTTCTACACCTTTGATTGGTGGTGTCTCTAGCACAAGCCCCTGAAGTTAAACAGTGATATCTGTACCAGCTGAAACAAAAGCTGCCTGGATCCCTGAGCTACACCAACTGTCAGTGTTTTCATTCTCAGGAATAAAAAAAAAAAAAAAAAAAAAAAAAAAAAAAAAGAGAAGCAGGAAAAACTCCATCAAATATTAAGGCATGTTAATTTTAGCCTTGTTGAAAGCACAGATTTCCAGTGAAAGCCCAACAGCTGCTGAGGGAGAGGTTAATTTATTAAACTAAAAAGTGAGTATGTTACTGTTTGTGCTAGGAGACTCCAGAGGTAGGAGCAGTTGGTAGTTTACAGTCACACCAGATGTGATAGTGATTTAGAGATGTGTTAAAACATCTGAGCAGTTACAGGACAAGAAATACAGACACAAGGCAGGAAAGAAGTTCCATGTTTCAGTCTGAAAACATTTTATAAGGCATAAGGAAAAAAATTCTAGTTCTCAAAAATTATATTGGTCATTTTACTTTTCACATGTAAATTGTGCACAGTGAGGTTTTCTTTCCTCAAGATAAAAGGATCCTTTTTGTAGTGAAGGAAACTAAACATAGTTACTGGGTAGTGTCATGCAGTTATACCCAGGAAGCTCTGCACAGCGCTGCTTGTTCCAGCTTGGCTTCTTGCCTCTCTTGGAACTGGCCTTGGGTGGACTTGCAAGCACTGCTGGGGTATCTCTGCTTTGCACTCTCTAGCATCTCCTGCCTGGAGAGCTTTGTAGCCTGAGTGTGGTGCTTGGTCTGTGTGAGCATGCAGTGCTGTGCCAGAGCTTGTTGAATCCAGTACAGTGGAAAACACTTGCAGTGCCAGTTTGCTTCTGTCAAGTGGATATCAGTATGTCATATCATCACCTTATCTTGCTTGAGACAGATTTCTTTGAGGTCCTGTAGCATAACTGCAGTGCTATGCATGAACAAGTAATCACTACTGCTGCCATTGTTCTTCTCTGTATGTTTGTCTTCTCAGTTCAGCGAGCTTCATTCTTTGCTGCTGCTGATGAAAATCACAGACCTGTGAGTGCTGCCTCCAGTAGTGATCAGGCAGAGGACCAGCTTACTGCACAGATAAAGCCTTATACAGGGTAAGTAAATACACCAGATGTGCAGGCTTCCTCAGCTACAAACTGAAGAAAAGAGTAAGAACATCTTTATTTGGAAGGCATCTCCAGGCTTCACAGAAGAACTCTTCACAATTTCTCATGAAGATGGAGGTGGGAGGTGAAAAGAGAAGAAATTTTTTTCCACTGTTAGGGTGGTCAGGCACTGGAATAGGTTGCCCAGGGAGGGGGTAGAGTCACCATCCCTGGAAGTGTTTGAAGCATCTGGATCAGGCACTGAAGAAATGGTTTAGGGTTTAGAGGTTACAGCAGAGTGACAGGTTAATGGTTGAACTTGGTGATCTTAGAGGTCTCTTCCAACTTCGATGATTCTATGAATTGTAAGTCCAGATGAACCTTTTTGCAGGTTCTTTCCTCTCTGGGATGTTCATGAACCTGTCCAAAGCAATGGTAATTCAAGGCACATATGAGTTCAAGCAGAGAGAATTCAAGTGATGGGATAGCCCCAGTTAATCATGAGTTAAATTAGTTCTGTTGTTTAATGTGTTCCATGTACTCTTTATTATGTTAATTTTGTGAAGTCTTAGTGTACCCAAATGCATACATTCGTAAAGCCACTCGGTGTAGACAAGGCTGTTAGCTACCCTGCATGAAGACAGTAAATCATATCAATACCTATTCCTGCCTTCAACAGTAAAGAATCTCCTCCAACTCTCGCCTCTAAAGTGGACCAACTGGAAGGTTTGCTGAAGATGCTGCAAGAAGACTTAAGGAAGGTAAACATTTCATCTACAGTAGATCTGTAGGACATATATTTAGTGCTGTTAGTGATGCTAATAACTGTGTAATCCTGCTTTGCCATGCCTGAACCTGAGACAGTCTCATCCTTGTATGAGAAAAAGACTTTTCTTTGGTACTTTCCTCAGGCTTCTAATGATGCACAGCTAGAATGGGGTGTCTCAATTTGTAGGCGTCTGATTCCTCTGCTTAAATTAGGAGGGTGATTCACAGTACCTCCACTGCTAATTCAGGTGACACTGTGAAAGGCTTGAAGTTAATCCATGTAAATATATCCTGCTGGTGTTGAAAAGCTGACAGTATTATCTAAACATGTAATTTCTACTGTGGAAACTTCCTGTATTGTGATAATGCCTGCTTGGTCCAAGAAGGAATCTGCTGTGGTGACATGAAAAGTCTCTTAGTTAGGGAAGTATTTGCAGGAAGATTGTCTATACCTTACTTAGTTAACCATCAGCAGTTTTACGTACAGCTCATGCTCAATTTTGTTGGACCACTTGGGGAGCCACCTTCTGTGTTAGAATTTAATACAGAAAAATCCTGTTCATTCAAGCAAAATGTGGGGAAGGAAATGTCGCTGATGTCCCTTGGATATAAACCCATGTGTTACTGCACATAAAATCCCTACAAAGAATGAGGCTCATGCTCTCCTAAGACTTTCTTGCTGCTCTAGATAGATAGGAAGCATGACCTAGAATTTCCACTAAGATCTGTATTTTTCCTCATGCCTAAGGAAAAAGAGGACAAGGCCAGCCTTCAGGCTGAAGTGCAACATTTGCGGGAAGACAACTTGAGGTTACAGGAGGAATCCCAGAATGCAACTGAGAAACTGAAGAAATTCACCGAATGGGTTTTCAACACAATTGATATGAACTGAGAACAGTGTATGGGGAAGGAAACTATCTGTTATGAATATTATTACTGGGACTTAAGCTTTAATGCCACCTTAATTATGACATGTGAAAGTATAGTCAGAGCACTTCCCTGTCCTTCATCCTCCAATAACCCTTTTTTGCATCTCTGCGCGCACTCAGAACAATTGCAGATCAACAATCAATGTCTGCCTTTTGTAGAAAAAAACAAAGTAAATAATTTTAAAAAGGTAAAATAAAAATTTAACTGCTAAAATGTGAATGTCTATTTTTTGCACATTGTCTCTTTATCTGTTATGTACAAAATTATTTGGAGGCGGGATCAGGCTTGCTGTTCCATCTGCCTCTGTTTCCATTAACTCCTTTCTCTCTGTTTCAGGTAATCTGCTTTTCCTTGCAGCTTTGGCAAATATTATGACATCTAGAAAATTAGAAAGAAATGTTTACTTTACTGCTCTTCTAACATTGTTTTCTGAAGTATGCCACAGACAAGGGGATGTAATGCAATGTTTTAGGCATCTCCTTAGCAGTTTGCGCTTGATTCCTAGTGCTACCTTCCCATACATTACAGAGAACACGTGTCCATAGTGTATGGTACAGTACAACCAGCATCACAGCAACTGGAGAGATGAGCCATGGGTGAGGCATATTATCACACATCTACTGCATTAACATTTCTGGTAGCCTTTGTTTCCTGTGGAAACAATGGCTGCAAGTACCTTTACGAACAGCAAAACTAGGCATGCTGCAGTTCATACCGTGTCAGGCAGGCTGAGACATAGCCAAGGACTGTTGCTGGATTGCTGAAGTACAGTCCCCTTCCCTTCCAGGGGAGTCTTACTTGCATATATGCAGAAGACTTGGGCTGAAGTTGTAAAGAGATTAAGATTTCTTTTCCCTGAAGTGTCTCCATGAAAATCAACATAAACCATTTCTGTGTACCTGCTCTCCCATTTCATTTCTCTGGAATTCTCAAATCACAGAAGATTTGAGAAAAGTTTATTCAAGTTGTGTTTTATTGCATGAGAGATCTTAAAATCCTTTACTATGGAAGACAGAGGAATATGTAAAGGGCAGTTAGAGAAGTGTATTTTTCAAAGCACAGGGTTAGGATTGGAGCTCTGAAATCCCCACTCCCCAGTGAAACTGTCTAACATGAGATTTCCCAGACTGCCTCATGCCAGGAAAGCTACTCGTTATTTGAAGGAACAGCTAACTTGCCACAATGTGTTACCTCTACCAAAAATACCTTTTAGGTGTCAAAATATGACTTCTAAGCAGCGCAGTCTGCGCAGGCACTGAACTGTGCAGTGTGCTGGGAAACCTTTTCTACTCCCTTCTGAGGATACAGTTACTACCTTACTATGTATTGCCTTGCATAAAGAGCAGTGTATTTGGGGGTTAATTTTGAGAACATCCTCCCCCTCCCCTTTACCACATTCTCAAACAGACAGATTAAAATCATTGGCAGAGTCTTGTCACAGACTTCCATGCTCTTTTCAAATCCCTTTTTCATGCTCTTTAATCTTGCTGCACACAAGTACACACTACACTTCAACCTCAAACTTCATTTGTGATGCTAATCCCCATGGAGTTCTTCTCTAATGTTTTGTCATGGAAATGGATCTCTTTGGAACTATTTCTGGAGTGCTTTTGTAAAGGTTTAGAATGTCATGGGTTTTTTAATGACTTGTATGAAGGAGATTTATATAATGCCTGATATTATTTGTAAATGGGAAATATTGCTAACATCTCTGAGCATCCTGAAGTCTTGCTTTTATTCTCTTTTATTTTTAAGTTTGGTTTTATTTTATTTCAAAAAATATTTTGGGACTTGGGGCAGACTATTTATTAGAGTTTTGCAACAGAGTTCTTCTTGTATGATGCCATTGAAGGCTACTTGTAAAATTCTGACAATAAAACTCATTTTAAAGGCTCTTCTAAACCATTTTCTTTTGATTTTGTTGGATTTGTTGTTTATAACTTTTTAGAGTATTCATTTCTTCCTGTTTTCTTCTTGTACCACTTTTCTCAGTGCTTATCGATACATGAGTTCCATTCTCTATCAGATTCCTAATTTTTCTCCCTTGGAAGGTCATTATTTGGTGTGTAAACACCACTTCATTCCCTAACCTTTTACTTGTATGACTACACAAATGTATTTTATTTTCCCATTTACAAGGGTTTGCTACCTTTAACAGTGACTCTGCGCTTCACCAGAATGACAGTAAAGGAAAGGCAGTGATAAATATAATTTATCAGGATTTTAGAACTTGGTAAAACTGAAGCCAATTTAAGTGAAAAACAAACTCTCCTGGCATGTCTACCCAAGGAAACACACAACTTTCAGTGTCCCAGAGCCAAACCTGTGAGCATGCAACATCAGGTGTTATGTTTGGGGGAGTGGGGCAGATACTCCGTTTGTTTTGTTGTCCAGGTCACCTTCTTTGGCTTAGGAGGTGACCTTGGACATGTTTTGAACAGACTTCTTTTGGCCCAGTGGATCAGCATTCTGCGCAGCACAGAAATGTAGAACTAGATCAGTCTGCAGGAAACCATCTTCCAGTTCACTGAATAGATCCCTACAAGGCATGTGGGGAAGGAAAATTCATCTCTTTCTAGCTGTGAAGTTACCTGACCAAGAGAGCTCTGAAGCAGCAAAAGGAAATAGAAGCATTTGATTGAAAAATTGAGGTTCAATCTTGGAAAGAAAACTAGATGCTGTCTTACCATTTGTACTTGGATGCTGGTAATTGAGTTGAAGGACAAAGTTTCCTTCAGGTTAAGGAGTTGCCCTCTCCACATTCAGAATTAATTCATGCCAGAGGTTCCACACTCCACCACACACACTGCTAGGTCAGCCTAGACCAGGACAAGATCTAACTTGCAGGCACTTCCTGAGTAGTTACTGGTCTAAGCAGCAGGCAAGAGGCTGTCAGAGGAATGTAGGTAGCAGGGACCTTGGTTTACCCATTTCTCCCAAGAGTAATGTTTTATATTCCTGGAAGCATCCTTGTCTACATTCCAGTGCAAAGGTTCTATTCTCCATGTGGTGGCATTTTGGATGGCTGGATGTGGCTGGTACAGCAGCAGCAGTTTGCCTTCTCTCAAGATCCCCCAGTCGGGGAGGGCAGAGGTTGCCACTGCAGAGGGTTTGCAGCTTGCATGATGGATAACAGTCTTACCAAAAGTGAATCTGGGCATAGGTAACAGGTAAGAGAGCATCAGGGTCTTGCAAGAGGCAAGCTGTGAGGCACAAAGGAGCAGGGATTGTGAGTGGAGAGGATGGTGAATGGGGACTGGGTAGCTAGTTATGAGGTTAAGGGAGAGGAGATGTGGGGATTAAATGCAACACATCCAGGTTTTGCACCTCTGAAAGTGTGGTTACCATATGATACCCTGTTGTTTCTGTGGGAAGCTGTGTTCCAGCCCAATGTATGAGTATTGTGAGAAAGCCTTTTCCCCAGCTCTTTCTGTTGAGGGATAGGTCCCTATGAACCAGGCAGAACCTGGAGGGATTGACTTGTTTGCTTTTAAAACCTTTATGTAATCCTTCTCTCATCTCCTAGTGCCTTCTTGTGGGCTGACAGCTAACAAATCCTCTTTTAAAGCAGTCAGCTGTCTCCTAGCAGACAGTTCAGCATGCTGTTAGTCCTGTATATGAGCAATTTGCTTTGCTGCAAGACAGCAAGGGAGCAGAGGCGGTTGCATTTATCAGCTGGTATGGAATCCAAAGTTGGATTTGGATGGAGAGGTTGATTCAACCTCTCTGCAGATAGAGCAGAGAACAGAGACGTGGGTTTTGCTGAGGCAGTTACTAATGGACAGGAGCTGGGTAATGAGGTTTGTACAGATGCCTTCACCTCTTCCTAATATTAGCTGTGGTGAGGAAATCCTTGCTGTGCTTTTTAAGACAATGCTGGAGGGAAAAGAAGCTCATAGAAATATTCAGATCTCTGCAGTAAGGGCCTCTTCCCCTAGCAACTTCTGCTGGGCATGAGGGGAGTAAGGCTGGGGAGTTTGTGTGAGTTGGACTTTTGTGGGGGCAGGGTCTGGATTTGGAACTCCAAGGCAGGCAGTGGCTGATGGCAGCCCCCTACACCCCATTTCTGCAACGAAGACTAGCTGCAGCCACTGTCTGGGAAAGGCAGACCCTCTCCCAGTTTCCACTGCAACAGCCCAGGGAAATGCTCAGCTTTGGGAAGACAGAGCTGGCTGCTTAGGGCCTTGTGGGGTTTTGCCTAACTCAGTATGCAAGGTCACAGCAGGCAGGTCCCTTTCTCCAGCTTTTCTTGTGCTTGCATGGACCCCTCTTCCTCCGGAAAGTGATTTCAGTGTGACACAACCAGCTTGTGTTTCTCCCAGATGTTTGGTGTCTGAATGATTTCAAGTGAGCCAGGCTGTTTGTGGCATAGCAAAGTGTGGACAGCTCGAGTGGGAACTCCTGTGGGAAGTAAAAACAGGGTGTTACAGCAAGCTGCTAGATCCTCCCAAACCACAGCACTGGGGGTTGCAGAAGTTTTGGTCTATCACAAGGTAACTTGGGTTGGAAGGATCCTCACTAAGACTCTTGTCCAGCCAGTTGCTCTGGACTTTATCCAGCTGGGTCTTGAACAAAAGCCTCCAAGGATGGAGACTGCATGGTCTCTCTGGGCAATGCATTACTGTCCTCACCATGAAAAAGTTTTTATCAGGTTTATTAGCAGAAAGGTGTAACCTCAGCAGCAGTTGCAGACTGTTTTGCCTACATTCCTCCAAGAGCTCAGGCACAGGATTGTGTACCCTCCGTGAAAGCCCTGAAACCTCGTGAGCTGTCCCCTGCCTGGGGCCAGCAGCAGAGCACCCACATTGGCTGTTTTCCCTCTGTTGTGTTTGGCTGGAAGGAGGCCCTGCAGCTTGGTGGGTGCTGAGCATTGTTTGCGCCACTAATCAACTTCCTACAGTACAGTTCCAAATTATTTCTCATTTCAATACTCAGTACAATTTATTCATGCTTTAATCAGGGCCAGAAGCAAACCCCTTGGTTGTCCTTCACTCTGTGGTGCCTGTAAGAAGGACAGACATGCTGCTGGGTGGGGAGCCACAGCTGCGGGCAGAGGATGCTTTCAGCAGCTGAAGAAGTCCCATCAGCTCTTGGCACGCAAAGAAGTCAGAGACTGAAACCAGGGTATGTTCAAGGACTAGAACTGAATGTTGTTTCCTAAACTCACATTGTTATAGTGGCAAGTGCCACCAACTAGTAATTAAAAGGAGGTT